GACTTGAATTTTTCTGAAGAGGAAGCTCCCTAAATGTAAGAAAAAAATACAAAGATGAGTAAAATGTTCAAAGAAACATCCCGACAATTAACTACTTCTTGAATCCAAGATCTCTGATATAGTGACATGAGATGTTATTTATATGCCTAAAATATTTTTCTAAAAGGAACTTCAAAAATTAATTCTCATTTACTCTCAGATTTCCTTGATTTAAGATCATTTTCTGGTATTTTATTAAAATCTTACTGTTAAATATCACAGTGTGGGAGAGGATACACTATTTATCATGATCTTGGCCAAAATCAACATGGACAAAACAAAAATGTAGAAATAATCAGATCCCAACAGAGGTAGGGAGCTTTAAGGACCTAAAAATGTATAATTTTTTTTCTATTCTAACACATGGCACAAAGTTATCTTATATAATTTGTTTTGAGATACTAAATTTACCCTCGTTTTCCCAGTATAATCAATATATTTTACTGCATTAAATGCTTTACATTGAGTGAAAAGAATCCTAAAATGATAGTGTAGGCCTGGGTATCACGGGAAGGACCTTAGGATGGGGTAATAATGCTTAAGAGGCTCTGAACATCCAGTTTTGACAGATATCAGAACCATGGGGTCTTGCCCATTACAATCATCTTGAGCACCACTGTTGCAATACGCAAGATGTGATCAAACAGTATGGTGAATGTTTAAATAAAAAAAAAACAATTATTACAATAAAAAGACACGTTGCCGTTAACCCTCCTCAAAATACTCCTTCGCTTTGAACACACTAATCCCATCATTCTTGCCACTTTCTGAAGTAGTTCTGGAAGTCCTCTTTCATCAGTATCTTTAGCTGTGCTGTCACGGCTGCCTCGATGTTCTGAATCGATTCACAATGTTTATCTTTCATGGTCATTTTGACTTTGGGGAAGAGCCAGAAGTCGCACGGTGCCAGATCCGGTGAATAAGGTGGACGAGGACTCATTGTAATATATTTTTTTTAATTTGTCAAAAAGAACCTTTATTATTTTTGTAATAGCCTTTTACGTTCTTATGCTTTCTTGCCAGATGCCTTTGGAGCAGGTGCTTTCTGGGCTGGAGCTTTCGGACCCTTCTGAGCTTTTGGAGGTGCTGCCTTCTGGCCTGCAGCTTTCTGGGTGGGAACCTTCTGGGCTGGAGCCTTGGTGCCTGCAGCAGCCATCTTTTTTGCTGGAACCTTTGCAGTAGATGCTGCAGCTGCAGTTGCAGCAGGTGCTTTTTTGGGAGATGCTTTCAGGAGCGCTGCCTTTTGAAGCTTCGTAACTTCAAGCTTGATTATTCGGTTCCTCATTTTCTTTGCCTTCATAACTTTGTAACGATCAAAATATTTCATCTTGGCTTTATTTTCTCTGGCTTCAATCTTCTTGGCCCATCTTGTGGCTGCCCATTTGGTATTGATATCTGCCTTCTCCCAGGCTTTTCGGATGTATTTCTGGTGGGCACTATGTGGGAACTTGAGGATGAAGTCAGTGAGCTGCATGCATTTGAAAGGCATAGCCTGTCTCCTTACTTGAGTGCAAGGTCCATCAACCAAAGCCCTGTTCTGGTCAATAACATCTACAATCGCGACCAGCTTCCCGGCATGAGGACCAAAGGAGACGTAGGCCACCCGGCCAACTTCCATGAAGCACGTTAACACCATATTGGCAGCGTTCGATGAGAAGGAAGAAGCTGTAATATTTTTATTGACAGAAATTTCCGTACCAGAAGTGACGTATGACACAGAGCCTTTCCATTGTGATCACAAAATACAGTGAATGCTGCTACCAAGTGTCATCCAATGGAAAGGCAGGGATCTTCAACATGGGAAGCAGTGCACAGAACCTTAGTAACAGTGTGCCAAGTTAAAACTTGTTCAGTGCAGTCAGTCAGGTATGCACTACAGATGAGAAGTGTGTTTGAAGGTGTGCTGCAAATCATCCTCCATCATGACAATGTTCTGTGCCACACGTCACTTCTAGTATACGGTAATTTCTGTCAAATAAAAATATTATAATGTGTCCTCATCCAACTGAGTCACCAGATCTGGCACCGTGCCAACTTCTGGCTCTGACCCAAAGTCAAAATGATTCAGGACATCAAGGCAGCCATGAAAGCGCAACTAAAGACACTCAGGAAAGAGGACTTCAGAACTGCTTAAGAAAGTGGCAAGAATGATGGGATAAGTGTGTTTGAAGCAAAGGGGAGTATTTTGACGGGGATTAATGGCAATGTGTCTTCTACTGTAATAACTTTTTTTATTTAAACATTCACCATATTGTTTAATCACACCTCATGATAACGTTCAAATATCTGTTAGCAAGCATTCCGTTGTCTGACTTTAGGCATACTACTAAAGCGAACCAACGTAATAACAAAATCAATAAACTACAAAATGGAAAACTACCCAAAATAAAGTATCATAATAATACTTGGGTATAACAGTAATCTTAAACACATGCATGTATTAAATAGAAGCAAGCTGATGACATATACTCCAGTTGGTTATTAGTAATTAATAAATATCTTTTAAATGTTACAAATGATTCTTACCTCTTCTTTGCTGTTTTCCATCATATCAGAGTTATTTCCAGAACTACTGATTTTATCTTAAAAGAAGAAATAAAAACATTATGTATCTCTACAATAGATTATAAAACAGAACACCAATACCTATAACTCCACAAACCCATTTTTCAATCTATGAAGTATGACAGTATTGGTAATAGATTACTCACATTAAAATATGCTTAGGGCCAGCTGAGTGGCACGATGGTTAAGAGCTGGCTTGGGATGCCAGAGGACTACGGTTTGGATCCCACATATGAGGGCCAGTGACACTGCCCTCTACAGCTAAGAAACTGAACAACAGCTCAACCTGGAGTCGCCGGTGAATGCATAGGCTGCAGCCACTGCTGCAGTGGGTTGCCATGGGCTACTGTGTGTAGCCAGCAGCCAGCGTGAGCAGCCAGCAGCCGCTGTGAGCAGCCGTCCACAAGCCGGCGACTCATCTGCCTCGCTTGGGAAGAACGCAATGATGGTGCCAACTTGGGCCAATGAAGCAACGTCCTCCACAACTACACTGAAGAACAAAAGGACAGCAACTTCTCTGTTCCCCTTCCCCCAATTCCCCAGCGCTGTTCCCATCTCCCCAATTCCCCAATAAAAATCTCTTAAAAAAATATTCCTAGTGGAGTTTTATGACTAGAATCACTCTTTTGACACACTAACCCCTTCTAAAAAAGCATTAAATTTCAAAAGAGGAATTTGATATCAAAACATTCTGTGCTATAATTTTCTAAGATATATTCTTAAAATAAAATGTATGCTTAATCTTCTACTAAAAATAAAACCATACTATTGGGCCAGCCGAGTGGCTCAGTTGGTCAAGAGTTAGCTTAAGAGTGCAGACTCTGAGCGACAGGGCCACCGGTTCAATTTCCACATGGGCCAGTGACTGAGCTCGAGCTGAGCTGTCGCTGAGCTGCCAACAGGTGGCAGGATGGCTCAGCTGGTGTAACAACAAGATTGCCTGTTTGATGGTGGGCTACGCCCACCCGCAACTAAGACTGAACACAGCACCTTGACCTTAGAGGCCACAAGCTACCAACAGAAAGCCAGATGGCGACTGGTGCCCTCCACAATGAAGATTGAAGAACAACAACTTGGCCGGTCCCCCTCCCCAATTCCCCAACACTGTTTCCCTCCCCCAATTCCCCAATGAAATCTTTAAAAAAAAACCATACTACTAATAAACTGTATTTCCTTTCACCATAAGACACTGGAATAATAACAGCAAACTAAACCTAAAGAAAGCACAGTGAAAGAAATAATAAAGATTAGAGTGGAAATTAATGAAACAGGAAATAGAAAAATAACGAGAAAAATCAATGAAACTAAAAGTTATAGTCATGCCTCAGTATCTTCTGGGAATTGGTTCCAAACCCCCTGCAGATACCAAAATCCTTGGAGGCTCAAATCCCTTATATAAAATGATGTAGTATTTGCATATAACTTACACACATCCTCTCATCTACTTTAAATCATCTCTTGGTTACTTACTATACCTAATACAATGTAAATGCTATGTAAATAGTTGTTATACTGTATTGTTTAAGGGAATAATGACAAGAAAAAAGTCTCTACATATTCAGTACAGTTGCAACCATCACAGGCCTAATTACATAGTACAGGTCTGCAACAACATAACATTTTTTTCCCAAGTAGTTTCCATTTGTGTTTGGTTGAATTTGTAGAGGTGGAACATGTGGAAACAGAGGGCCAACTGTAATTCTTTGAAAAGAAGAACAAAACTGACAAACCTTAGACTAGAGTGACAAAAAGACAGAGACAAGACTCAATTATACAATCAAAAATTAAAGGATTTTACTACCTATCTTACAAGAAATAAAACAATTATAAAGAAATATGAACAACTGTACACCAAAAAATTAACATAACCTAAATTATATGGACAAATTTTAAACACACACAAACTACTGAAACTGGCTCTAGAATAAACAATGTGTATACACCTATAACTGAAAAGACTGAATTAGAAATTAAAAAATCTACCCACAAAGTAAAGCAAAAGTCCAGATGGCTTTACCACTGAATTACACCAAAATAATAAAAACAGAATTAGTAACAAATTATTCACAAACTCTTCTAATAAAAAAGGAGGGAACATTTTCCAACTCATTATTTTGAGACCGGTATCATACCAAAACCAGAAAGAGAAATCTGCAGACCAATATCACTTATGAATATAGATGCAAAGGTCCTCAACAAAATACTAGCAAACTTCAAAAGAATAAAAAACAAGTCTTTCTCTCACAGACTAAGAAAATACTTGCAAAAGACACATCTGATAAAGAACTATTATCTAAAATATACGAAGAACTCTTAAACCTCAACAATAATAAAATAACATGATTGAAAATAGGCAAAATAATTGAAGACATCTTACCAAAGAAGATATACAGATGGCAAATAAACATATAAAAAGATGCTCCAGGGGCGGCCGGTTAGCTCAGGTGGTTAGAACACAGGCTCATAACATCAAGGTTGCCGGTTTCATTCCCACATAGGCCAAGGAGCTGCACCCTCCACAACTAGATTGAAGACAAGTACTTGACTTGAAGCTGATGGGTCCTGGAAAAACGCCATGCACAACTAGACTGAAACAACTATTGACTTGGAGCTGATGGGTCCTGCAAAAACACACTGTTCCCCAATAAAATTTCTAAAAAAGAAAAAAATGCTCCACATCATATGTCATTAGGGAACTGGAAATTAAACAAGATAACACTACAGATCTACTAGAATGGACAAAATGCAGAACACTGACAACACCAAATGCTGGCGAGGATGTTCATAGGAACTCAGAATGGTACTGCCGCTCTGGAAAACATTTTGACACCTTCTTACAAAACCAACCATACTCTTACTATATGATGCAGCAATCACGCTCTTTGATATTTACCCAAATGTTAAAAACTGTTCTACCACAGGGCCGGCCGAGTGGCACGTTGGATAAGAGCTGGCTTGGGACACCAGAGGGCCCCGGTTCAGATCCCACATATGAGGGCCAGTGACACTGCCCTCTACAGCTAAGATGCTGAACAANTGAGCAGTGGCACTTAAACAGGTATACACATCACAATCATCTAGGGAAGCACACATCTCTATTCCATATTACTGAAGATTACACAATTCAGTAGGTCTGGGGGTGGACCAGGCCATGTGCATTCTCAAAAACCAACTCATATCATGAAGGGAACTCCTAATTAAAAATCACTATATTAGAGAATAACAAGCAAGCTGTGTTTGTTAAAAGACATTCCCACTGGTCAGAAACAACATAAGTCCAATAGAATAAATTGCACACTTCTAATAAAAACTATACTCCATAGTATGTCATACATGATAAGTATGTTTGGAAGTAGTTTCAGTCATGTAAAAGTCACTGACAATTTCACACAGAAAAGTATGTTTACCCATCTTTTTTTTTTCTTTCTTCTCCCTTAACATTTCCCATTTTATTGTATTTATGTTTACCAATCTTTGTTCTCCTTAAAACTTCCTCATAACTATGATAGCTACCACTCCTCAACCAAGACAATTTTACAGAAACGTGTACTGCCTCATGAGGCATTCAGTATTTCATTTCCCCTTTTTTTCCCTTTTTTTAAAGTACATATATGATCTAACAGAAGTAATCTATATATTGCAAGGGCCACTAGTACATGATAAACCCTCCCTGGAAAATGCCATTAAAATTCAAAGTCAGAATGAATCAATAATTGTTGAAGCCAGGTGATGG